TCATTTTTTATAAAAAAAATGCTAAAAAAAAATTCCTTATAAAATATAAGGAAATGTGATATGGAATTTCAAAAAACGTATACAAAACTTATTTATAATAATAAAAAAACGTATGCAAATTTTTTATAGGGCTGAATTTTGGCCAAACTGTCTTATGTCTGAATTGCCTTATTTCGACTAGTGTATGTAGTGGCCAACGGTACATATATTAAGAATAGTTCTCAAAACATAAGTTCTGATAATGAACGACCTGACTATAATTTAATCCTCAATCATATTTATCCATTTAGAGGAGAAGAAAAATCGCTTAGAAACAACAAAGATCTAAAATCTGAACTTGGACACAAATTTGTGTGGACTTATAATTCTGCCTCATATATTTTAGGTAAAACCTTATGTTTATTTCACAAATTACTATACCAATAAATTTTTGTAAATTTCTACATACCTAAACGTGATTTTTGCATTTGCAGGTTATTATACAAATGGGTCTCATGTAACTCTCATTGTCATTTGCTGATTTCTAGAGGATCATAATGTACTAGATATCATTAATATTGTAAGTTCAAATTTAGCATTGAGGCAGGAACGTATCTTTCATCTGCAAAGAATAATCAATTTAAGCTTAATTATTAAGTTGGTTCAGGAAGCGATTGGATTTTATGAAATGGCTAAATTCGTTCCTATTGTTAGGTGAGATATGGAATTTACTTTCCTTCAAAATACTTTATATTCTAATATTATTTTTATTTTCCTTGTAGGAATGGTCATCAGATTGTTGAGGTATTCAGCAAATATATTAGAAAGACCTATATTAATCCTGATGCCTATGATCGCGTTGAAAGGCTTATTAATATTTATGACAAATTGGTACATAAAAAAGTACCAAATATTGATCATCTAGATTATGCTAATAAAGAGAAAGGTGTGATGTATCTTTCTTCAAAAATAATGAGCATAAGATCAAAAGATCAGCAGGAATTGTTTGAAACTATTACCTATGTTTTTAAGATGCTGAAAGTATAATGGTAGTTTTTAGATGAATGCTTGAGCATTTCTTATTCTCATCTGTAATTTTTATAGAGTTTGCATAAAATCCTTATATACCATCAGGGTATCCGTTAGCCTAATATTGTTTGACTTCTAGATGCATTTGATGAATTATCAAAATGGATTATTATAGATTGGGAAGATGCCGTTAGATATTCAAATAATTCAGCAAACTATCTTATAACTGAAAAATATTCTCTAAAAGTATTTTAGCAAAATCACCACAGAGAAGTTGATATCTGAAGTGTAGGCAAATTGACTATAGATATAAGTAAATAAATCCTCAACCTCTCACAAAGAATCATTAAATTTGGAAATAATCTGCAAAGTAATAATAAGGCATCTGCTAAAAGAGCTTTAAAACAAATTAAAAAGATAAAAAAAAAAGTTGATAAAGCATAGACATTTCAATAAAATTATATACTTTAGATTCTGCTTAACATACAAATTTGTTTTTTATAGAATATATGTAAACTTAGAATTATTCACAAATCTTTTGTATACACATATACATTATTAAGAATTCAAAGTCAAATTATAGGTGAAACTTATATTAATAAAATAAAAGTAATAAAAATAGTAGAATAGTAAGCAAAATATGATATATTTTCACTCTTTTACATTTCTTTTTCTATTATTAATAGTGTTAACTATAAGATTCTTACACACCATTTATATTTACAAACTTTTTGTCTATTTATACCAATTTCACTTATATAAACCAATAAAGAATTAAGTTCTGTAAGATAACTTTTTAATTTAATCATAAAAATCTGAAATAAAATATATTATAAAATCAATAAGAGGTTTTTTTCGTTATAAATATGCAAGAAATAAATTACATGCAATTACTTGTTCTTATTTTACTAATAACTATACCAATATATTTTTATAAATGTACATTTATTTATTATCAAAAATACATTATCTTTGTAAGTGTTATGAAGATTAAAATCATATATATTCTAGTCAAAATTAATTACCCATGAATACCTAAAAAAATTCTTTAATCACATGATATAAAATTATTTATTACTTGTGTTATACCCTTTATATTTATTAAAACCATGCAATTTTTATCTGTTACTATATGAAAATACCCAATCAAATTTCAGAATCAGGTATAAAAATCAATATTTATATGATCAGGTAATAATAATAAAAAAATTAATATTATATTAAATTATTTTTTATTTTTTCACTTTAGATGCATAACAGTTTCTGTTTTCTAATTACATTAGTAAAAATTATATTTGTTATATAATAACTATCATATCCTTAGATTTAGAATTAGGTCAAGTTTAGAGCTTATGTATAATGTAAGCCAACAATCACATAATTGAAAAATTTTTGGATACTCTTGAAATAGTTATCAAAATTCAAAATTAAGAATAAATGTTCACATATAAATTAGTTACATATTAAAATATTTAAATGATATTATGAAAAACTATGATATTTTATCATAATTAACTAGAATAATCTAATTATTTTTATAGAAAGGTCTTTTTAGTTATAGTTATTAATAGTATTTTTCTATTTGAAAAGATTATTTTCTAAAAAAAATTTTTTTTTAAGAGTTTTTCTGATACATAATTCAAATAATAAAAATACTAATTTAATATAGATGAATTTTATTATTTATAATATACAGTAAATTTATTATATAGAATGTAAATTAAATTATCTTTTTTAGAATTACCATCAAAAATCTTTAGATATGATTATAATAAAAATATTTATCATATTATATCATATTCTAAAGTTTTCTTTTTTTATATAAAAAACTATATATCCTATACATTAAGTAAATTTTAGTTATATAAGCATTTTTTTATTTGCCACATAATTTTTATTCAATAATTAATTTAGAACTCACAACAATTCCTATTTTTTAATACTATTTATCAGAAAATATAATTCTTTTTAAATATCAAAATCTTATTTATAATATATCTATTTATCACAGCTAGAATTAATTTAGAGTTAAAATTAGTAAAATTATGCATACTTATAATAAGTAATAGATTATACTAATCAGATGCAGTGTATAAAATTTAGACCAAAAGTCATGTGCACAAGTTGTACTAAAAATAGAAAATTAATGCATGTATTACATAGTATTTCTATTTTTATAAATAATTTATCCATTTTTATATATAATTTATCTATTTTAGTAATTATTTGTGCACATTTTATGCTGTGTAATATGTGCACACAAAAATTTAATGTGCACATGAATTTTACATACTGATCAGATGACAGATAATTGCGTAATAATATATCAATATCTAATCAAAAAACTAAATCTTCTGAAAACATAATAAAAATTATAATGTTATATCACATTATATATGCAATAGATAAATATCATACCTTTCTAATATAATAATAATTAGTATAACCTATTACACATTACAGATATATAAGGATTATTTAGGATTAGATATTAACATATTATTAGTTAAATATCACATGTTCAAGAATTTTTCTAAATTAAGTTTATAATGTCATTTAAATAATATAATAATAAATTATTTTGTAAATTTAATAATATATAGTTTATATCTTTCTAAATTTAGTTCAATATTGATAATGTTATATAAGATTTAATCTCTAAATAATATCAATACCCAACTTATTAAATAACTTATAAATCTTCATAGCCTTTATTTTTTAAAGTAAATAGTTTCTAAGATTCAAAGAAGAGTCAGTCTTAAAAAAAAAGAAAAAAAACATTCTTAAAGAAGCTCACTGATTTTAAGAAGAAGAGAATTAAGTTATTGGTTAGTTCTTAAGATCTAAAGAAGGTTAGTTCTAAAAAGATTAAAAAATAAAAATAAAAAAAATAAAAAAATGTTTTTTTAACTTACTGTTGTGTGACAAAAATAGGTTATGAGTTAAACGTTTCATTTTATGAATAAATAAAAATTAAATTTTCGAATCAAAATTTATGATTATCGTTATACGAATATCGAAAATCATTTTTTTTTTTTCGAACTGCTACAATTACAGTATACGATAATTTTATTTTAATTAAAAATTCGATAAAATCATTCTCACTAAATATTATATATCCAACTACGTTTGAAAATAGAATATTCGAATATTTGTTTGTAAATTAATAAAGTTCAAATATTCGAAAATACATAATTAATATTCGAACATTAAAATCAATTTCGAATATCTGAAAATCAAATCCACTTCAGTCACAATTATTATTTCGGTTTTCGAATTAATTCGATCGATTATTTATTAATTAATAATTTTTAAAATAATTAAAATAAAAAATAGAAATAAAGAATTGATCGATAAAATAAGAAAGTACGTAAAAAAAAAATAAAAGTAATTAAAAATTTCAAATATTTGAAATGCAATTTGTATTTCATATAATTTCTATCATCTCCTTCTTAAAAATGATGTTTGAATTCTCCATCCCTATACAAATCATGCACTTCATAAGCCATTCTTGAAAAGGTGCTATTTACAGTACCGATAAAAACCCCACCGTAAGATACTATAAGATAATCAATTATAGGTATGTAAAATTTAAGTAGGTCAATATTCGGAGCAAAATCACTTGAAGTTTTACCAAATTCTTTTAAATCGGTGTTAAAATCAAATAAAGTAAAGATACATGGAAATCTATCATATAGGAATTTAAGTGTTTTGATGGGTTTTTTCGCATCCGTTGCAATGTAAATAATAGGTAAATTATGAGCTAAACACTCCTGTAGACTATAAGTCGAATATTCCTTCTTCTTTTCGTTACTATTCAAGTAACTAGTATCTAAAGATGGAATTGTGTTGTTTTTAAGGAATTTTTTTAATTCATCATTGATGAATTTTAAATTTTCATTTAACCGATTTTGAAATGAACCATCACCAACTCTGACATGTAAACCAAAGTAAAACCCTTTTCCACCTAATATTTGCATGATTTTGTTACTTATATTCAATAATTTCAGATTATTAATCATAAAGTTACTATGGATTAGATGATTAAAATGAATATTCTTTGGTTGTTCCAATACTATCCTATAATGACTAAATAATGAATGGAAATGTAATAATTTTTTGTCGATTTTCAATAAATCTGACGTAAAAATTTTCTTCTTAAATCGTTCCAGACCCTCCTCGGAATGATCATTATCGAAATATCTAAAATCATAGTGTTGACTTTCAACGATGAAAAAGGTCTCATTTTTTGATGTGGAAAATTGTTCTAGTAAAGTATCCAATGAGAAATCATATCCGCGATGTACTATTTTGATATACTTTTTTATCTCGGAGAAATCAAATAGTTGTTCCCAATCTAACATTGTAAATTTATCATATTCAGAATACTCCTCGCTGCAAAGGTCATCATCATCATCTGACGATTCGTTTTCGATCGTAACGTTCGTGCAATGAGTCATTCGATACTTTTTAATTGTAACGGTTTTATTTAATAGTTCATATAGAGTATTATATGGTTTATAAGGGTTGATGTAATAAATTAAGATAGGCGGGATAATTAAAGTACGATTCGTAATATATGATAACAACATAGCATTCATAAGGGATCCATGTTGATTATGAAACCCACTATGAGGCAAATATGTCAAGAATCTCTCATCACAAGATGGTGAATCAAGAGAAGGCTTTGTTGTTGGTTCGGTTGACGTTTCGGATGTTGTGGAAGATTGTAAAGATGCTGCAAATATAAATTCGGCAGAGAGAGTGTAAAATGCTATAAATAATGTTAAAATTATTATTGGAATTAATGACTTAAATAAAAATCGATTTCTTGATTGTAATCGATCGTATGAATTTATTTTTTCATTGAACATTTTTTTTTTAATAAAAAAAAAAAAAAAAAAAAAAAAAAAAAAAAAAGGAGTGAGAGATTTATTTTTCTTTTTTTTAAGATGAATTGTAGTATAAATATGAATTTTGTGTAAATCAAATTAATTCTTAATGTTTCACAGGAATGTACATTTCATTGGTGTAAAATGAAAATTTCTTAAAAAAAAATGGGGGGAAACCATTTCTCGTTTTCTTGTTGCAAGAACTTTTAGAAGCCAAATCTTGTTACATTTTTTCTGATACCGTTTTTAATATCTTTAGATAAATTATTCCAAAGTTTATTTCTCATTTCCACAACAACCTTTGATCTTTTAAGATCCATAGGATTGGTACAATGCTGCCTTGGAAGGCCGATATAAATATCAGCTTCAATACAAACTAATTTATCCAAAATATTTCTAACGCCACTATTTTCAAATTCGTCTTTTAAAGCATCTTGTAAATGTTTCATAACACCCAAAGAATCCGCAGTTTGAAAAGGAATTGTTGTCGCAATCATCTCCATTGCTTTGGTATGAGAAACCGAGATGTGACGCCATATAGAAGAAGGCTGAAAGAACGGTTCAGAAGAATTTAAAGAAACTATTTCGTTTAAATAACGTAAAGGATAATCTGAGGCAAAATAAACATTTTCTATGGAACTTATATCAACCGTTTTTTGTACTTGAGTTAAGAGGTTATGGGCACATTCCGGTAAAGCGTATTGTGCTATATGTTGGATGTCCCATTGAATTGCTATATAAGGTTTTAGAGAATTTATAATTTTTGAGGATGAATCTCTGATGTGTTTTGCATAAGGTAAGGGAGGGAATTCGTCTAGAAGTAAAGGTTGTCTTATATCATGTCTGATTAATAACACTTTAGAGTTATCCTGCAAACTATTCACAAGGAATTCTTGCAAGACCTCTCTTCCGTCTTCCAATTCCCAAGTGTTCCATGAGACCCTTAATTGTTCAAATGGAGTTTTATCATTTAATTTTAATTGAAACTTATCTAGACACCACTTTTTCCTCAATGTATCGGAATAAGATGTGACTGGCATTATGGAATTTTGTTCACCCCCATTGATTAAATAATAATGAGAGGTTGAAGGTTTATCATATCTATGATAAGACCATTTTTGAAAGTCTTTTTGAGAAATAAATTTTACGCCAGGAAACATCTCCTTTAATTTATCTACGTCATAATAAAAATCAAATGGAAAATGTTGGCACGTTGAAATTTTATTTGATCCAACGTTTGTTAATACCATTATACGTCCGAGCGATTCCGCCAGTTTTATGTATGTTATGAATTCAATATTTGTCGTCGATATTTCCATTGTTGGTGGATAATAAGCCAACAAGAATTTGCATTCTAATCCGTAACAAAACTTTCGATCAACCTTTTTATCATGTTTATGAATATCTTTTATATGACTAAATTCATCCTTTTCCACCTCAATACCTTGTCCAGATTTATTTTTCTTAAAAGAATGAGTTAAGAAGAGTTAGAAAGGAAAAGTTTTGGAAAGGAAATGACCGAACTCGTTTGTACAACTTACATCTTCGGGAGCATGGTTGATTTTCACGTATTCGGAAGAGTATAAAGTTCTTGGTAAGATTACGAGCATAAAATTTGCGATGCTACATAAAATTATTAGACTAAATATAACGTATAAAATTCGTTTCCTCCAATCCCTAGAGATCGAAATGGTTGAAGTCTTTTTTTTCATTATTAAAAGGTATAAAAATAAGTTTCGATATACTGTATACAAGGACGAATAACAGTTTTTTTAATGAGAAAAAATTGTGACTACTTTGAAAAAGTATATAATAAAAAAAAAAAAAAAAGAAATTCCACCCTGAAAATAATTTTATTTATATAAGATGTGTACAGAAAAAAAGAATAAATATCTTAAATCACACCAATTATATTACATGCATAAATAATTACAATACATCATATAAATTGTTTATCACTTAAACTGGAGTGGCAAATTTTCTCATTCTTCATGTTAAAACAATAACACGCCAGGTCAAATTTTATTCTTAATGATTTTTCGTAAAGTGAAAAGGAATAAAGATTGATATCCGATTTAAAAATGCCGCGCCGTATATATTATTATGATATAAATTACGTATTTTAGGTTCATTCAAAATGATTTGTTACACGAGAACTAGACACGTTCTTGATCAATTGAGGGTTTTTTTTGTTGCCTTTTTGCCGTAATCATTAATTCGTGCAAAAAAGGTGATTCCTGCGAAAATTTCGTTTGAGGTACCATTACATATATTTATAAGGTAATTTTCTATATTGGCTATTTAGTTGTTTTCTTTTTTATATTATCTTTTGCTTATGTTAATTATTGACAGTATTTGTGTCTATAAATACTTGGCATTTCACTTTTGTTTAGGCAAACGCTGACAAAGGACTGATTCTTAAGAATTATTATGGCGTAGCGCCGGTACTTTGTTTACCGAGTGTTTCATGTATTGTGTATTTGTTTATTCAAATTTAATAACCGATTTTTAAGTGTAACATTATAATACATTAAAGAAAATTCCAAAGTGGAAAGTGTCTGGTAAGTCCATGTGAACGTTTTTTTGCTTATTTTATTTTAAGACGTGTACAATAGAACCAAAAATGATTTATATTTACGTCTAAATTTTAGCATGAGGAAATCCTACTTTTATTATGTTTTATATTTTTTCATTAATTTGGTAATTCTTAATTACTTTTCTTTTTTAATTACTATAATAAAACCTTTTTTTTTTTTTCGAATTTCATTTACTAGTCTAGTATCCTTTTTATTTAAATAAAAAACATCATTATTAGGCTTTTAAAAATTAAATTTAATTTTAAAGCATTTAAATTTAAAATAAAATACTTATTTAAAATTATATTAATAATTAAAAATTTAAAAAATTAATAATAATTTAATAAAAACGTTCATTTTTGAATTATTTTAGGATTAGTTAAAATCAATTAGAATGTTTATTAATCTTATCAATAGCAAATAATTAAAATATATTTAAAATCATTAAGTTTTTTATAAAAAAAATGTAATCAACTTATTGCTAAAGCTTCTAATAAGTTGAATCAAATTGAACCAAAAGTTAAAACCTTAATTTTTATTATATTTAAATGAAATTTACAATATACAAATTAAAATACAAGTTTATATAATATTTTTATGCTTTTAAACAAATTATTTTATCTCTTATTTTATTAAAAAAAAAAAAAAAAGAAGCTACTATTATTAATAATTTATAATTTATAAAATTTAAGAAATATTATATTAAATATAGGTAATTTTTACTTGTATAATGCAAAAAGTCTATACTTAACAATATAAATATAATACTTAAAAATCTTTCAATTCTTTAAAAAATAAAATTTAGAAAAAATAAACTAATAACTTTATTTTTTGTGATAAACTTTACTAATACCAGTCAGTTTTTTTAAAAATGTTCTATATAAAAAGTTATAGAAATTTAAAAATTAAATAATTTTTATATGATTGTCCTAAATTTGAAACATATATAGGAAGTTATCTATTAAAATCAAGTTATGAATATAGTAAATCATATGATTTATAATATGATTTTAATAGCTTACCTCTCATATTATTGATTGAAATTTATGATAATTCAAGCCAATATTATGGTAATTAATCATAATGTCAGCTTAAATTATTAAAATTTTAAAATGATATATAAAAAATAATTAATATCTCATTTTTCATTAGTCAATTACTAATCACATAATATAAAATTCACAAAAAATTTTAAAACATATTGAGTTAAGACTTTCAGCACTATTTATAGGTATTTGAACATGGATTACATAATACAACTAGTATTAAAAAATTAAGAAATTATTTGTGTGATGACTATGACAGATAAAATGTGATAAATAAGAATTTATTATTGAAAAATTTTGTCTCTAGAATATATAGTAAAAACCAAAGGTAAAGAATATGATATAGGTAACAGGGGGAACAAGGATGTTTCCCACTAGAGGTGTACACCTCCCACAATGCTTTTTTGCTATATTATTTTGTTTTCTTTTTTTGTTTCTCGCATCTCTAGCTCATTAAAATCACTTTTTTACTTTCTTGCCTAACTGGAGACTTCACAATCTCAGAAATAGGAAGGGCGTGCAGACTTCTTTGTTTTTCACCTGGAGGCTTAAGAATAATAGTTATTAAAATACGTAATCTAGGCGTTCCTTTATTGACTAGAATGATTACTTATTGATTCGCTATTTTAGAGCTCTTAAATATTGTTCTACTATATCAATAAAAATTGTATTTCTTTTTTCTTATTAGATTTGAAAAAAGAAGGTAGACTTTCTCCTGCAGAAGTGATAGCTTCAAAGAAGGAGACATAATAAAAATTTTTACCTAGAAATATAACTTTAGGTGAAAAAAAAAGCTCGACAAATTCGCCTATAGACGTATTTAGTCATGAGTTACCCAATTAGCCAAATAAACTTAGACTCATATCTGCATCTAGTGAATTGTCAGGCAGTAGAGTAGGTGGCCAGAGACAATATTGGAAAAAATCTGTTGCTCTCAAAAAAAACTTCTATTGTCTAGAAGCTATAATATAGAATCTTGCCTCAGCTTTTTTCATTATTAGACCACCAGGTCTATATAGCCAATCTCAGACATATTTTTGAATTACTTAGGATGCTTGATCACATTTTTTATTTTGAAGTTTATTTTTATGATAATTAGCTTTACGATAATACTTTCCAGTATGTTTCGTGTACATTCTATAAAAAGAAGCTGTTAGTGTCCACAAGAAATACAAATTCATCTTTTCTAATGAATATGGCATCCTTCTTTCTGGTAACATTTTTTTCCACATACATGACCATCAATATAGGTATATGAACAAGAATAAAATGCCATGCCTTTCTGTTATTTTACAAATTAAATATTTTCTGAGGTTATTAAAATAAGATGACATCTAATATTATAGATTTAGATAAAAGAATAGAATCTTTATCTCAAGTGATGCCAAAAGGGCCAGCAAAAAAAGTGGAGAAAGCATTACTAGAAGTATTAGAAACAGCAATATATCAGAATTTAAAGAGAATAGTAAATTTGTTAGAGATCATCTTAGTTATGTAAAAAAAATGCGATTAGCAGAAAATCCTGATGGATATGTTAAATATATTGCAAGAAAACTGATTCCAGATGAAATATTATATAATACAAGAATAGAGAAAGTTCAAATATGATATTGAGGAGAACTGCATACTAAACTAGAGAAATTATATAGCATTTATTATGAAATATCTCAGAAAGAAAAATGTGAGATATCTAAAGAGAATGCGAAAGGAATTATTCAAGAACTTCTTAACATATTACTTATAGATGATTAAATATACAAAGCTAATAACTTTCTTAACTTGTTAACCTCCACTGGTGTGGTAATTCAGTATGAGAAATTACTAGTAATTCTTCGCGTATAAATGATCGTTCAGGACTATTGCCTTCATTATCTATAAGCCAATAAAGAACTAGCTGATTTTTTTGTATTAGTAATTTTTTAATATAGTAAATTTGTGGAGACCAATTTTTATCAGTTGCATATCATTTACTATCTCCTTCTAGCTCGTCAGGTTCAAGCAAATATCTTATTAAAACATTATAAGTTAATTGTAATTCATCAAAGCTCATAGGTTCTTCTTGAGTTTTAGAAGACTGAAAAATGACCTGCTTCTTTTTATTGCTATAGCTGGAGATAGATCTATAAGACGAGTTATAAAATTATTAATATCTTTTACAATTATAGATAAATTCTTTACCCAAGCCCAAAATTTTTCAGATAAATGTAATGTTAATAAGTCATGTACATCCTGTATACGAAATAATCTTTTAGCCAGGATTTTATTATAACTTTCAACTATACCCATAATATGCTTAAACTTGGCTTTCTAAATTTTTATATTATACTCTTTCATTAATTTCTCATAATCATCTCTAAACTCTGATCCCCTATCTGTTAAAAATGTTTCTGATCAGACTAGAGAACACTTAGGGTTGTTATAGACTTTCTTAAGAGCTTGAGCAATATTCTTTGAAGTTAAGATCTCTTGCCTATCTTTGACATTATATGCACCAATATGAATGGATACTTTATATCTCGAAGTCACATTCATAATATTAAGGCAAAAAAGATAAGTAATCTGACCTATCTTGTCATAAGACATATAGAGAATATCCGTCTGGTATACTTGATTAGGAGTAATAATAAAGCTAAAGCTTGCTCAAGGAATATATCTTGGCCGAGGTATATGAATTTGGTGAATAGCCTGTCTTTCAAGCTAATTCCTAACTTCATTTAAACTAAAATCATATCCAGCCTTTTTAGAAACTTTGTGTAATTTTTTTGCAGTCCTCTGATAACTCGAAGGCTGATAATAAATCTTTTGTAAAGTAATAGAAACATCAAGTTTTCGAGTCTCATCTGAATCTATCTATATTATAGGAATTAGCATAGATCCAGCTTACATAGAAATATTAGATACTAATAAAGAGTTGCACAAAGAATTGGCTGATGAAATAACCAAAAGCAAACTTAAGGATAAAAAGCTAAAATCGCTTTCTAGGGAGTTAGAAAACTTTTATAAAACATTATCTTATCAGGATTCAACAATATTAACTCATGAAGATGAAATAGTATCTCTTAAGTCTGTGATAAAATCTCTTAAACAGCG